CGAAATATCAGGCGACGTGGGAGTCGCTTGATTCGCGGCCACTTCCCTCCTGGTACGACGATGCGAAGTTCGGAATTTTTATGCACTGGGGGGTGTATGCTGTTCCGAGTTTTGGCTCCGAATGGTTTTGGTGGCATTGGAAAGGAGAAAATGATCCAAAATACGTTGAGTTTATGAAAAAGAATTATCGTCCGGGTTTCTCCTATGCCGATTTTGCGCCGATGTTCAGGGCTGAATTTTTCGACCCTGATCTGTGGGCGGACATGTTGGCTCGATCTGGTGCCAGGTTTGTGGGACGATTTTTTCATAATTTTTTTAAAGGTTGCCATTCTTTTAATACTCTCATTTATAGAGTGTTTCTTTATAGTATGAAAATTGGGCATTTCAAGCTTTCCGAAGCAGTTGAGACAAGCTGAACTAAGAAAATTATGCAATATATGTAGTTATCTTTAGAAATGGTTTCTAAAATAGGTGGTTTTGTAATAAGTACCTGCATCACAAAGGGTTCTCTTTGTGAAACTTTTTACGTTTACAACTTGACCTATTTTCGTAGATTAAATCTCTTGGTTTGAGAGTTTTGAGGATTTGATTAAACATGCTATATTCAGCTTCAGCAGACATTCCTTGATATCTGACAGATGTTAGTTCCAGTTTCAGCATTAAAGCTATTCGAACAAAATCTGCTGAGAGCGCATTTTCTCTTAAGATTTTTTTGGAAGTGATGATATTATATAATTTTTTTTAATGGGTGACAAGTCCTTTTACTTAATCAAGTCTTGTTACTCTACAGACTTGTTCTTTGCATAGTTGATGACTATACCATGGCCAACAGTCTCAATTTATCTCTATAGTCTTAAGTAGGTCTGGGATATGCAGTGTGTGTACCAGGCTTGTTGGCTCATCCCTCCTCCCCTCTCAACCATGCTCAACTGCTCATTTTCTGTGATGGCAATCTCTACTGCCAATTAAGTTTGTGATAATATCCCTTCTTCTCTATGGGAATCATTGCATAACTCTCATTTTGCAAAAGTAAACTTTATTTTTAAGAAACTAACATATTCAAGTAGAAGGAGCTTTTCTTTAGGGGAGAGGATCAACAACATAAAGTCAGCTACTATTTTTTTAACAACTAGGCTGGAAGAAGTAATGCCTTACTTTTATAATTATTTTCATCTTTGATAGATATGTTGTTTTGACAAGTAAACACCATGAGGGCTGGACAAACTGGAGGTCAAATGTTTCTTGGAACTGGAACTCCGTCAATAATGGTCCTCATAGGGATCTTGTTGGTAAGCAAGCTTTTGGTCTCAACTTGGGCATTCTATTTCATGCTTTTTGTAATCTTTTTGTAAGGCCAGATTTACTTTGCAATCACCTAAAGTCACACTGAACATTTCCAAGTTGGTCCTCCACAACCAAAATGGCACTTTCTTTAAAGTAACATTTGTGCCACTGTATGTTTTGATAAAATAGGAATCCTTCATGTTGGCAGATACAAAAGAAAAAGCCAGATCTATTATAGTGCACGCTCAGAACTGATGCCCACCATGATATTGTTCTTGAAACATTGTACAAAAATAACATGGTCATTTTATTTGTCTTGAACAGGTGATCTAGCATCAGCCATTAGGAAGCGCACTAACATCACATTTGGTTTGTACTATTCCCTTTATGAATGGTTTAACCCTCTTTATCTGGAAGATAAAGAAAATAAATTTGCCACACAGACATATGTTGATGTAAGTTGAACTCTTAAGGATAAATTCTGTTTTAATACTTGAACTCCCATAAGTGACCTGGACAAAGTTTCTCTTTACAATAACAGTACACTTTCAAGCTGATGGGTGACAAGAATAAAGAAAAAAAATCAATTAAAGGATTATTAGTTGATTCAGTACCAAATTCTCTTAACTAACATTATAGAAGTTGTGGGGCAGATGGCAAAGAGAACTACTGATAAGATCATGAGAGTGAAAGGGTTAACCCTTTAACTCTGAATATCTGATTGTGAATTCTCCCCCACTAGCTGCTATATGTTTCCTCATAAGTAAGTTGCAAGAATTTGGTGTCAGATTGAGAGAGCAACTTGAACCCAATAAGTTTGAATATTCTCATTGCCTGTTTGCTGGATAATGGTTAGATATTTAGGGAGAAGTTACTTTTTAATGACTCCTGGGAGTTAAAGGGTTAAATGAACATTTTAGCACTGTTTTATATGTTTTTCTGATCTTGCATTCTCCCCAGCTACATGTAAATCATGGATTTCTTCTCAAGGCTGTCAACCAAACCTAATAATGCATTTTTGTATTGATGTGGAATATTTTCTTAATAAGATATTGACGAGGCAGTTTTTTTTAAATATATATTTATTGTTGGATGTGGAATTGTAGACTGTGCAGTTTTTTCTATACTGTTATCCTGGTACCGTAATTTCTGGCTATTTACCCGTGCGGCAGATTACCTGCATATGTCAATTTTTGCAATTGTGACAAAAAAAATTTAAACAGATCACCTGCACTGGCAGATAACCTGCACCTAAGAACAAAAGAAAATCGTCAACTCACACAAAGTTCCACCATTGTTTTTGTTGACATGATATCCTTTAGCATGCAATTAATAAATTTTCACATTTCCTGTTCTCGATGTTTCTTATAGAATGAATCAAAGAAATGGCTTGAAACATGAAAATACTCTTTAACTCATGGCAGTGCTAGCTAAGAAAATTTCACTGATGTGTCAAATATTCTGTCGTGCTGTTGTTCTGTAAAATTATCTTATTACCTGCACCTTCCCATAACTTGCACCAACAACTGTCTGTGGAAAAATTAACAGATTACCCATGGGTAATCGGCTAGAAATTATGGTACTAAATATCTGAATGAAACTCCTGGATAATATGTACTTTCTGTTTTTTAATAAAGGAAATTATGCTACCCCAGATGTATGATATTGTAGAGAATTACAAGCCAGAGTATATTTGGTCAGATGGTGACTGGGAAGCTAGTGATTCTTACTGGAAGAGTAAAGAATTTCTTGCATGGCTGTACAATGACAGGTAACATTTCATTGCAGGAGAACAAAATGACAAAATTCTAAGGTGAAACCACTTGTAAAAATTAGTAAATACTTAGTTTAGAGAATTGCCCTCAAAGTTATCTTCACAGTTGGTTATTCTTCTTAAAAATAAAGAATTTACTCCAAAATGTTTGCAAACTTAGAGTTTTAAAATTCATGACTGTGTAAGAATCTTCTGATATAATCACACAATACATGTTTGCAAGCTTAAAGTTTTTAAATTCAAGACTGTGTCCTGCGTAAGAATCTACCAGAAGCAACCAGCATCAAGTTGTGATTAACTAGATCAACTCTGGCCCCAAGGCCACTTAACATAAAACATGTACTGTAAGGAACCTACTCTGGGACTTACTAAGCACATGACAGTAATATAAGTCAGTGGGTTAAAGTGAATTTCTCACACTTTATTTTCAGTCCTGTTAAAGACACTGTGGTGGTGAATGACCGCTGGGGTGCTGGTGATATGTGTCACCATGGTGGGGTGTTTACTTGTGCTGACAGATATAATCCAGGTAACGTATCAAAAAGTATACACCATCCCTTAATTGTATATTAATCTTATTTTCATATCTTTTTGTTAAAATTGTAAAACTTTTATAATTTTTCTCAAAATTTTAGAGGCAACATTACATTTTGCTGTTGGTGGAGTGTAGATCTTAATATCAGATTTATTAAAAAGGTATTTCCGTCCATTTTCAGGTGTTTTGCAGAAACACAAATGGGAAGATGCAATGACCGTTGATAAAGATTCATGGGGATATCGAAGAAACACAACTATCTCAGACTTTCTAACTATGGATAACCTGACCAGTATCCTTGCTTCAACTGTGAGGTTAGAATCTTAAAATGTTCTTCTTTTCCCTGTGTCTTTTCCCTATCCATTGTGGTTCAGGTGCCTGCAGTATTTACTCCAGCTCTCATTGTTGCTCTTCTTGTCATCCCCTCACTCCTGATTCCTCTTATTAATCACTGTCTTTTCTCTTTTCTTTTATCACTATTGACTTTCCTCATGATTTTTTTTCATAATGTCACCTTTTCTCATTTTAAACAAGTGATTTCCTTAGTCTAGTATACAGATGTTGGCATAGCTGGTTATGGAATAAAACTAATCATGAGACAATTTTTCCTGAGGCACAAGAGAGCTGGTCTGATTTTTTATAGTCACTAATTTATTAAATTATTTTTACTCTCCCTCTGAACAGTTGTGGTGGTAACATGCTGATGAATGTTGGCCCAACAGCAGATGGTCGAATTGACCCAATTTTTCAGGAACGTCTTGAACAAATGGGAGACTGGCTGAACGTTAATGGGGAAGGTATTTATGGAACCAAGCCTTGGCGAGTTCAAAATGATACCTTAACCCCTAAGATATGGTAAGTATTATTTTCCCAAAGAATAAAAGTCATCTCTGTATTTCATTACAGAGCTTAAAAAAATTACCACCTTTTCCTTTTTCTGTCAACGCACACATGAAGCTTTATACAAATTGCTAGTAGTAGTGTTATGCCCAATGTGTGTTTCATATGAACTAAGTGAATAAGGCCCAATTTACCATAGAGTCTCTGTGGCTGAGTGGTGGAGTGACAAAAGGTCTGAGGTTTAGTTCTTCCTGGGACTCAGAAGTTTGTACCTTTTCCTTGTTGGTCTCATTATTTTTTCTTTGCTTATTAAATTTACAGTGCTCACAATGTATCAAAAGTGAAGTTTATTTCAGAATTGAATGTACATGTACAGCAAGTAGTGGAGCAAAACTTATGTGAATGTAATCCAAAAGATAATTGAGTTATTACTCACCTTTACTCTGATAAACCTGGATACATAGATTGGTCTGTTACAACTTTTGCTATCTTTCCACAGGTACACCAGCAAACCTGGGCTGACATATGCTATTGCACTGGAGTGGCCCAAAGAGGAGACACTATATCTTGGGTCACCTGTGCCTGCTGAGAATGCAACCGTTAATCTGCTTGGTCTACCAGGAGTTGAGTTTCCTTGGAAGCCTCTTTCAGAAAAGGGAGGAATGAAAATAATTATTCCACCCCTGTCTGCCTCTGACCTGCCCTGTCAGTGGGCATGGGTGTTTAAAATGACTAATGTCAAATAAAAAGTGTGAGAAAATACAACTGCAGGCCTTGTATACAACTAGAGGCATTAAATTGGGAATCATAAGTATGTGTAGAAATAATGTCCTTTTTTTATTTTATTAATGTAGAGTTGAATTTTTTCCAAGGACATAACAAGTGAAAACTCTGCCAACTGGCTCTGTTTTAGTGTAAGCACCAACAGCCTGGCAGTGGCCTAATCCTTATGAGGAAATAATTTGATACTTATTCCACTAATTTAAGAGCACTTCTGTAAAACAGTGCAGATTTTGTATGGTTATGTGAGGTACAGGTTTTGTATGGCATTAGGAAATTGTAGACTTTTTCATAAGTTAGAGTTTCATGGATGTAATGTAGAGTATAGGTACACAATTTAAACTGTTTCCTCCAAATGTAAAATCATGAACAAGTGGAGTGCAATTTGGGCTGAAATCATATGCATGATTTAAAAATCGAACAAGCCCACAGCACGAGTTTGATTTGTAATCACAAGTATGATTTCAGACTAAAATTGCATGACACAAGGTTCAATTACCACTTTATTACATCCATTTTGAAATCGCCCAAATACAGGACTTGATCAGTTCAGATATTCTATTAATGCAGTACTGAGCTGGTTTGAAATTAAATTCATCCATTGTTTTGGGGGAAAAATAAGAGTTGTGGAAACAAAAGTTGCAAAATTTGTCATATGATACTTTGTCTTTTATTTTCCTGCAATTTGATTGGTTTCTTTAAACAAGCCTTGAAATCTGATTGGTTGTTTTGTTTTTAGTGTAGCCTCATTGCCTGGGAAAAAGATGTGATTCAAAGCAAAAAATGGTGGGATTCGTGAATAAATTGCACCATTTAGAGCCAATCAGATTACAGGGACCACCAATGATTTCAAAATGGGTATAATAAATGAAAAAAACAAAAAGAAATTAAAAGCTTGAAGCAAGGTAAGAGGATGATGGGAGGAAAGCAGTATTACTACAGCCATAGCAGTTGATTATGAAGGAATTTATGTGTGTTAATAAAATTATCAATCAAACATTCAAACAGTGATGATTTTTGTGACAGCCTTGATCATTTCAACTAGCATTTTTCTCCTTGCTCAATGTTTTCGGTTTCTGGAATTATTGCAGCTCATTTCCTTTCACAGACAATGTTTGAACAACTCCATATTAATCCTTTCATCCCTTGGGGTGATCAGAATATTTATTCTTTCAACAAATCTCTAAGACTGACTAACAGATGGGTGATAAGAATTTGATGGAATACTTATTAGAGATCCTTGGCCTGATTGAACACCAAATTCCTAACAAAGAGAAGTTTGTGATTACCAGCACTACAAACTAAAATCTCAGAACCCGGAAAGGAAAATTTATTGACGGATGACATATTGTGGTCTCCTTGGTGAAGGAGAGATCCCAGGAAAGAATGCTGCTCAGTGATTGGCTTATTCTGTGGGTGTGTCGGTGACGTGTCACCAAGCGCTCTCGATCAAAATTTCTTAGATCGTACTTTGACCATAATTCACGTCACGCAAGTAAAGATGGCTTCCGTGAATAGTCCCAAGGATGTCTTATGTTTATTTGACGTGGATGGTACAGTTACTCCGGCCAGATTGGTAAACTTCTTTCAGTAGCTGTTTTCTGTGGACATCAGGGGTCATTTTATGACACTTAATGGTAATTTTGTGAGATAACATAATTTCGTTAACCCTACCGTAACCTCGATCGTTAGGTTGTCACCGCAGAAATGAAAGAGTTCATGAAGAAGCTTCGCACAAAGGTTGTCGTCGGTTTAGTTGGTGGATCTGATTTTCATAAAATTCAAGAACAAATGGGAGGAGACGATGGTAAGGTTAATGTTGAAAGTATAGCGGTAATGATTGATATTTGATGAAGAATTTATATCAATGAATTGCTTTGTAGGCTCACAAACAATCTTTAACGTCGAGTCCATTTACAGTGTTAATGTTGATTTGTAGTTTGCTAGTTTGTTTGTGTCCAATTACTTTCCTCTTTCCAGTGACGAGCCTGTATGACTATGTGTTTTCGGAGAATGGTTTGGTAGCTTACAAGAACGGAGAGCTGATTCATAAACAGGTCAGTGTTTTGCCTCCCCCCGTCAACTTGGACAATATCATATCCACACTTTTTAAATGTTCCTAATGTAAGAATTGAACACTGCTGGAAATTAATATGTGTTTCACTAAAAATGAAGACTAAAAATGGAGACAGCTGTTGGAGAGGATGGGGGGGGGGGGGGGGGGGGGGGGGGGGGGG